TCTGTCTCCCTATACTTGCCTGAAGGGAGGGGGTTGACTAGATGATCTTTGGAGGTTATTTCTTGCTCCACTCTGATCCTTTGACTTTGCCTCTAGCTAATCTGTCAGACACAATAATTTTCGGCCAGAGTAAAACAATAAAACCCAACCTGACCTTTTTCCTAGACCTTTATTTCCTAAGTTCTCCAGGTGCTGTGCCTTATTCGTTCCAACTCCCTCTTTGCCTGTTGTCAAATCTGCCAGTTCTCCAAAGATTTGTCTCAGGCCCGGTTGCTCTTCCACATTGTCACTATTAAATTCCTTCTTTATTCAGTTTTAATTCCACTCTGCTTTGATTTAAACCCACTTTTCCCCAGTCCAATACTACAAACCATATTTCTTACCTATAAGAAGCATCTCAGTGGAAGGCAACACGGCAGAGTAGAATGAGCATCATTTTTGGAGTCAAGAGGAACTGGGCTCAAATCCCAGTTCTGTTACTTAACACTTACCTGATCTTAGCAAGTCCTTTTACCTCTCTGGGCCTCAGTTTCCTCGTCTATAAAATGGGGGGGGTAGACTAGATGGCCACTGATATCCCTTCCTTCATTAAATCTGTGATTCTTTAGTATAAAAATAACCCTTCCCAAACTTGTCCAGTTCTCTCCTCTCATCCCCACTCACTGTCTGCAGCAAATACAAACTGCCTAGTCTGGATTCCATGGACTCTCTCTGACTTCTTCCTGATGTCTTTCATTTCTCCCTTGTTGTTTCGGTCAATATAACTTCCTCCAGCCTTCTTAATTTTCCAACCCTAACTATACCCGCTCTTTTATGCCTATGTAATGGAGGGGAGGATGTGATTTCTGACTACCCCCCTCCCCCAGGTCAGCTGATGTAATTGGAGAATGCTACTGGATGTTACACTACTCATTCCTGCCCTTCTGTCTACAAACAGGATCCCAGACTACTCTACCATAAAACAAGAAAACTGAGAAAAAAGGAAGGAAAGGAAATAAGAAGGGAGGGGGAGGGAGAGAAGGAAGGAGGGAGGGGGAAAGGAAGAGGGAGAGGGAGAAGGAGAGGGGGAGAGAGAGGGATAGAGAGGGAGGGAGGGGAGAGGGAGGGAGAGAAAGAGAGAGGAAGAGAGAGGAAGAAAGAGAGAAAGAGAAAGAAAGAAAGAAAGAAAGGAAGGAAGGAAGGAAGGAAGGAAGGAAGGAAGGAAGGAAGGAAGGAGGAAGAAAGAAAGAAAGAAAGAAAGAAAGAAAGAAGAAAGAAAGAAAGAAGAAGAAGAAAGAAGAAAGAAAGAAAGAAAGAAAAGAAAGAAAGAAAAAGAAGAAAGAGAAAGAGAGAAAAAGAAAGAGAGAGAGAGGAAGGAAGGAAGAGAGAGAGAGAGAGAGAGAGAGAGAGAAAGGAAGGAAGGAAGGAAGGAAGGAAGGAAGGAAGGAAGGAAGGAAGGAAGGAAGGAAGGAAGGAAGGAAGGAAGGAAGGAAGGTCCTCTCTTCTACTCTGCACCTCAAACTATTGGCCTATTTAACCCTTCACCTAAACTGTGAATTTTCTAGAAAAATTAAAGTCCACTGTCATTGGCTTCACTACCTCATCCTCTTTCAATCTGATTTCCAATTCCATTACACCACCAAAACTTATCCAAGGTCATTGATGACCTTGTACTGATTACCAAAATACAATAGTCTTTCCTTAACCCTCATTCTCTTTGACCACCTCAACATTTGACACTTCCAGGTACTTCTTCCTTCTTTAAGCTCTTTCCTTGATTTCTCTCTCATTATTCACCTTCTACATCAATCACTGAGCATTTGTTAAATACCTACTATGTGCCAGGCATTGGGATGGGGACACAAATGCAAACATGAGATCATCCCTAATCTCAAGGAATTTTCTTTCCACTGGAAGATACAGCATGTTTGCAGATAAGTATGTGCAGGAAATATACACAATTTCAGTGATGGGAATGGGAGGAACATACACTGAGCAGAACTGAAGATACATAGAAGTCTTTTGAATGATTGCTCTCCCCATTTTCCCCTTTGCTGGTTCTTTCATCTCTTCCCAAATCCTAAACATAGATGTCCCTCAAACAAATCTAAAAGAAAGTGTTCATCAAGATTTGAAAACTAAAATGTGCATTATGGTCCACTGGAGATCTTTGAAAATACATATATTTATGAAGAGAATTTCTGGCTGCATCCACTTGTATTTTCTGCCCTATGTGACCATCTAACTTATCCTTGATCCCAGTCCTGCCTCTAGGGCCCAACAATGGAAAACATGCTGGATTTGAAGGGTTCAAATCCCAGTTCTATTGATTAATGTCTGTGAGACCTTGAGCAAAATACTTCATCTCTCAGACCTTCATTCACTTCCTTATTTGTGAAATGAAGGAATTGGACTGGTACAATGGAAAGAGCACTGACAGGTCAAAGGACCTGGATTCAAATCTTTTACTTTTGAGGTCTAGTATCTATCTATGTGACCTTGGGTAAGTCATATTCTCTCTGGGCCTCAGTGTCCTCATTAATGAAATAAGAAGATTAGACTAGATGGCCTTTGCAGGCCCATTTAGCTTTAGATCAATGATTATAGAGTTGGGCAGTCTTTGGGTATGGATGACTTCCAAATCTATATCACCTCTCTGGAGCACTAGGTCCAACTCAAATGCAACATGGCTAAACTATCTCCCCCCCCTCCCCAATCTGCCCTTCACCCTAACTTCCTATATTGGTTAATGGCACCTTTATTCTTTCCACACAAGTTCAAAACCTTAGCATCGTCTATGAATTCTGTCTTTCCCCCATATATGTGTACTCATTCCCTAGAGTGGTACATCTTTTGATTAAATTGAATAAGGCCTATCACCATCCAAGTGATCTCTGTGGTAAGCACATAAATTGTTCTAAGTGAGTAGTCCAGTTTCACTGAAGCAGAGTTTATTAAAGGAAGTAATAGGAAATAAGTCTGAAAAGGTAGGTAAGATGTCCTTGAATCATATAAGCTTAACATTGATATTGGTTTGTCTTCTGTCGTCCCTTTCAGTATTACATATTTTTCTGTTTCTCTTTTTATGATGTGAATTTTTTTTTTTGCTTTGTTTGATAGAGTGATTGCAACGCTTGCTTTTTAAGATTCATGTGGTGCATAGTCAATTTTGTCTGGCCTCTCATTTTTATTCTCTTTGATTTTTAGGTGTGTTCCTTTGTAAACAACAGATGGTGGGGTTTTGTTTTCTTATCTAGCCACATCTCCTGCAGCCAGGCTGTGCTCCAGACTTTCTCAACCACGTCCCAGTTCTGCATCTGAAGGCTATCAGGCACTGGAAATAGCCTCTTCTCATATAGGCCCCTCCCTCTGATTGGATGGCTCCTCCCAGAACCTCCATTTTAAGGGGGATCCCCAAGACTTCTTTTCAACTTCCTTTTATGTGTTGTGCCTTTGCCTCTCCTTGCCCCAGGTGTGTGTGTGTGTGTGTGTGTGTGTGGCTTTTCCCCATCAGAACATAAATTCTTTGAGGGCAAGGATTGCCTTTCTATTTATAGTTGTATTTCCAGTGCTTAGCACAGTGCCTGGCACATAAGTACTTAATAAAAGCCAGTCGACTGACTTATCCAATCTGTCACTATTTTTTAATTTTATTTTTATTTTTTAAGCAATTGGGGTTAAGTGACTTGCCCAGGGTCACACAGCTAGTAAGTGTCAAGTGTTTGGTCTGAGGCCAAATTTGAACTCAGGTCCTCCTAACTTCAGGGCTGTTGCTCTATCCTCTGTGCCACCTAGCTGCCCCTATTTTTTTTTAATTTTATTGGATTGTTTAATCCATTCACATTTGAAGTTACAGGATTTAGATTTTGTACTTTTCTCCATTTATCTCTAATATTATTGGGGAGGGGGATAAAGCGGGGCTTCCTTAATTAGGATCTGTAAAAAAGGTATTTTGTCCCTTCAGTTATTTTAGATTAATCTACCCTAAGGTAAATTTATTCCCACCAGCTTTCTACCCATCACTCTCAAATCTCCCTCTACCCTAACCCTGCCACCTTTGTTACTCTTTTCCCTAGATCTGGAGTTTTGCTTAATTTATCGGTTCTTTTTTCCTTTTATCTTATTCTTTCCCCCCCCCTCAGTTAATTAGTCAAGGTAAAATTTCCCTTCTCATGCCCTTCATTGTGCTTTGTTTCTTTATAAATTTTATTCTCTGTGCCTTTCTCTGAAAAGATATTCTTTCCCCATTTTTCTTCATTATTTGTATTATCATTCTGTCTCTTCTAGACTTGTATGCTTTCATTCATGTCCCTTATACTTATTTACTACATTTTTATTCTCTGGGCTCCTTATGGAATCGAAGCATCTAAGATTTTAGGTTCCCTCTTCTAACAGTTGCTATGTTATTGCCTTACAGATCTGGTTTCCTTTTACTTGTGTTTTTCACTCTTAAGAATACCAATTCCTGCAGGTGAGAGGATGGAAGTATTGCCTACTGTTAAGAATTTTTCTATGTCCCTAATTGTGCAGCTCATTAGTACTTTTTGCCTTATTCATGATCATTCGCCCCCATTTGCCATGAATCTCCTCTTTGGTTCCATGCGCACTCACTCTTCTGGGTTTCAGTTGCCACCAGAAACCCCAATTCCTCATCTCCTGATTCAGGATGAGTTGTCTCTCTAAGCTCCAGATCCTTGTAGGAAATACACGTTGCACACTCCCCATCTTCATATAGATTATCTTTCTATTCCATGGAGGCACTCTCCATTGGTGGCCCATTCTATCTCTGAAACAAGATTTTCTCCCTTTCTTTCCCCTTCTTTCAATACCTCTCTGGCTCCTCACCCATTCTCTAGTAGGACCCCTTTTTCCTGAAAGACAACAGGAGTTATTTTCCTTCCATGTTATCCTTTGCCTTGATTAGGATACATCAGATATTCCCCTCTATCTTCTTCCCCCTCACAACCTTTTATGTACCCTCCCACTCTTCAACTTAGCCCCAACACAAACCATTAATTTACCTGCAGGCAGGATGCTGGGAGGTTTAATCCAGGCTGTTTGCCCACCATCTCTTCTACCTGACTTATGCTTTCACTTTTAGACTGTACTTAAGGAAAGACATATCTTAACTGTCTCTCTGTTGTGTTTTTGTTATTGCCCTGCCCTCCTTGCTACGTTTGTTTACCTTTTTGTATTTCTTTTGCTGTTTGAAAAGCAAATGGTTTCCTTAGGCTTGGTTTTGTTTTAGGAATGCTTCAAATACCTCTCTTTTTTTTCAATAAATGTTTATCTTTTGTATTATTGGTTGGGCTCAGATTTACAGGGTGTGTTAACCTGGCCTCTGTCTTGAGCTCCTTTGCCCTTTGGAACACATTACTTGATTCCTTGGTTTCTGGTGGGGACAGAAAAGTCTGGTGTTATTAAAAGCCTCTTTTTCATGTTTGTTTTCTTATGTTTGAAGATCTTTCTCCTGGTCACTTGCAGAATTTGTTGTCATTGGAACTGTTAAATTTAATTACTATGTTCTGGGAGTTTGCAACATGAGATTTTTTTTTTCCTAAAGGCAATCTATGGATTCTCTCACTTTGTTTTCTATGTTTAGAAATTCTCATCAGTTTTCTTGTATTATTTCTAGCATCATGTTGTTCAGGTTTTGGGTAGATGTCCATAATAATGGAGTGGAGTCAAGATGGCAGAGTGAAAGGTAGCAACTACCAAACCTCTGCAAAAATCTCTTTCTACAAAATGACCGCAGAAAACATAAAATGAATTCTGAGCAAGAAAGCCAACAAAAAGTCATGGAGTTATTTTTCTAGCCCAGGGCAGCTTAAGAAAGAAATCAGTGGACACTGGGGCGGGGGCTGGTTGGGAGTGGGGTGAGATGGAAATAGCACTGGCAGTGGGCTATAGAGTAGCAGCAGTGGTGGTGGTGAGTAGCACCCAGGGATGGAAGGGACTGACTGCTTAAAAAGAGGTTCCAGGGATCCCCTTTACCAGCACCAGGTGTAGGATTGGGTGTCATTTGGCCACTCTCTTACTCATTTCATAGTTTCTGGGTGGAGAGGAGAGGTTGTGGTCACAAGAGATAAGGGAACCTTACCTGGGTAAGGACCAGAATACAGAGCAGGAGGGCATTGACCAAACCTCTTCTGGATCTCACCACTTTGGAAGCACCAAAAACTTACAGGCCCCCAAAATAAGCTGTGAATATTGCAGAAGGATATCAGAAACTCAGGCCGGTCATCCCCACTCCCACCCCCAGGCTGTGCAGAACCAATTCTACTATGCACTTTGCATAAAGTGCAAAGTCAAGAAGTAGACTGGAAAAAAAAATGAGCAAACAATGGAAAAAGAACTTGACCATAAAAATCTACTATGGTGACAGGGAAGCTCAAGACACAAACTCAAAAGAAGACAGGACTTGAAAACATCTACTAAGCTGCAAAGAAAAACATAGATTAGACACAAGCCCAACAGAATTCCTAGAGGAACTAAAAAAAAAAGATTTTTAAAAGAGCAAAATTATGATTTTAAAAATCAAATAAGGGTGGTAAAGGAAAAATGGGGAATGAGAGTTATGCAAGAAAATTATAAAAAGGGAATTAACATCTTGGTAGAAGAGGTGCAAAACATACTTGAGAAAATTATTCCTTGCACATTAAAATTAGACAAGAGGAAACTAATAACTCCATGAGACACCAAAAAATAAAACAATGTCAAAAGGCTAAAAAATAGAAGATAATGTAAAATATCTCTATTTTGAAAACAATTGACCAGGAACATAAATCACAGAGAGATAATTTCAGAATTATTGGCCTACCTGAAAGTCATGAAGAAAATAAAAGAGCCTTGACATTTTATTTCAAGAAATTATCAAGGAAAACTGCACAGATATAGTAGAACCAGAGGGCAGACTGACTACAGAATAACAAAGGAGATTTAGAGTGAAGCATTGTGGTATATTTGGGGCAGCTAGGTGGCAGACTGGAAAGAGTGCTTGGCCTGAGGTCAGGAGTATTCATCTTCCTGAGTTCAAATGTGACTCAGAAACTTACTAGCTGTGTGACCCTGGGCGAGTCACTTAACAACCCTGTTTGCCTCAGTTTCTCAAATGAAAAAATGAGCTGTAAAATGACCTGGTGAAGGAAATGGCAGACCACTCCAGTATCTTTGCCAAGGAAACTCCAAATGAGGAGAGTTGGACATAACTGAAACAACTGAACAATCAAAGTGCAGTGGAGTAAAAAGACTAGTGTTTCCAGAGTTAAACGCAGCTTTGAGTCACCCAGTGATCCCCTCATTTGCTCTGACAGCAGTCTTCTATCCGAAGTCACACTTTGTCCTTGTTGGTGAGGAGCTCTGACTACCCAAGGAGATTCTTTGGCTTTAACTCACTCTATTTAAAGACCTTACTATATGACCTTGGAACAAATCACCTGACTTCTCTAGGCCTCAGTGTCCTCATCTGTAAAATGTTGGGGCTAAACTAGATTGAAGGTCTTTCTAACCATAAATCCTATGATGATGCAGAGTCAGGGAGCAGAGGTTCAATGATCTTCAGTATAATGCTACAGAGAAGAGAAGTGTGTTAGAAAGATTTCTTCCTAAAAGGGTTCAAATAAAAGTTTTAATGCTTAAGGAAGGAGACAGTTTTACTTACCTGGGGAAAGAATCACTTATTTGCAAACTTTATTATCTAAGAATCTTGGATAAATGAAATGTTATGCTGACAAATCTTTGTGTTGAGATGAGAAACTAGCTTTCTGCAAACTTATTAGCTGTCGGATTTTTTCCTATTTTCTGGAAAGAAAATGTTTTGCACTACTGAATATGCATACATATACATATCTCTAAGGAATTAGGAAAACGCTAACATTATCAGCTAGCCACCAGATGTCACTACTACTGATGTTGTTTTATGTTTTATTTACCAAATATATAGTTTGTAGCTGTCTTGAATATATACTGATAAAATATTTCCCTCTGAATCACTTTTAGGTGATAGCTACTACAATTCCCATTCCCACCCCCTTCACTCCAAAACCTCAGGAATATACCACAAACACAAGTAAAAATGACAAAAATAATTTCTAGCCATCTTTTAAGCCTTTCCTGAACCACCCCTTCACCCAATAAGTATGCAAATACTGCAAAGATATCAAGGGAAATTGGTGGCCCTGAACTGTCACCACCAGCAACCTGTCAGTCACTCAGGAAGTGCTCTTTGGATCAGTCCTGAGATACTCTTGAGTGTCAGCAGCTGGTCTCATGATGAGATAAACAGCTGTAGCAAATTTCTCCAGTAGTCCAAAGGCCTTATTGGGTGTTGGCCACTTCCTTACTGCTCCAAATAATCACCGTAACCTTTATTTGACAAGACAATGCAATTTCTTTTCTTTCTTTTTTTTTCTTTTTTTTTGGTTTTTTTTAGACTTTAAATTTATTTTTAGTTTTCAACATTTACTTCCACAAGATTTTGAGTTCCAAATTTTCACTCCATCTCACCCCTTCCCCCACCCCAAGATGGCATGTATTCTGAATATCCCTTCCCCTTGTCTCTCCTCCATTCTATCTCTCCCCCCTTCTCTTATCCCCTTCCCCTTCTACTTTCCTGTAGGGGAGGATAGATTTCTGTACCTCATTTCCTGCATTTCTTATTTCCCAGTTGTATGTGAAAACATTTTTTTAAACATGTGTTTTTAAAACTTTGGGTTCCAAATTTTTTCCCTTCCTCCCTCCTCACCCACCCTCATTGAAAAGGCAAGCAACTCAATATAGATTATACGTGTGCAGTTATGTGAAACACGTCCATAGTAGTCATGTTGTGAAAAACTAACTCTATTTCCCTTAATCCTATCCCACCTTCCCATTTATTCTATTCTTTCTTTTGACCCTGTCCCTCCTCAGAAGTATTTGCTTCTGATTACCCTTTTCCCAATCTGCCCTCCTCTCTATCATTCCCCTGCTCTCTTGTCCCCTTCTCCACCTATTTTCCTGTAGGGTAAGACAGATTTCCATACTCAACTGAGTATGTATGTTATTCCCTCCTTAAGCTAAATCCTATGAGAATAAGATTCATTCATTCCCTCTCACCTTCCCCTGTTTCCCCTCCACCATAAGAACCTTTTCTTTTCTGTTTTTTTGTGAGATAATTTACCCCGTTCTACCTCTCGCTTTCTCTTTCTCCCAGTATAATACTCTTTCATCCCTTAATTTCATTCTCCAGATATGACCCCTTTATCTTCAACTCACCCTGTGCCCTCTATCTATCTATCTATCTATCTCTATCTATCTATCTATCTATCTATCTATCTATCTATATATCTATATACATACATATAATTTTTTCCCTCCAACTACCCTAATACTGACAAAGGTCTCATGAGTTATAAATATCATCTTTCCATGCAGGAATGTAAACAGTTCAACCTTAATAAGTCTCTTATGATTTCTCTTTCCTGTTTACCTCTTCATGTTCCACTTGAGTCTTGTATTTGAAAGTCAAATTTTCTATTCAGCTCTGGTCTTTTCATCAAGAATGCTTGAAAGTCCTCTATTTCACTGAATGACCATTTTTTCCCCTGAAGGATTATACTCAGTTTTGCTGGGTAGGTGATTCTTGGTTGTAATCCTATCTCCTTTGCCCTCCAGAATATTATATTCCATGCCCTCTGGTCCCTTAATGTAGAAGCTGCTAAATCTTGTGTTATCCTGATTGTGTTTCCACAATACTTGAATTGTTTCTTTCTGGCTGCTTGTAATATTTTCTCCTTGACCTGGGAACTCTGGAATTTGGCTACAATATTCCTAAGAGTTTTCCTTTGGGGATCTCTTTCAGGAGGAGATTGTGGATTCTTTCAATTTCTATTTTGCCCTCTGGTTCTAAAATATCAGGGCAGTTTTCCTTGATAATTTCTTGAAAGATGATGTCTAGGCTCTTTTTTTGATCATGGCTTTCAGATAGTCCAATAATTTTTAAATTCTCTCTCCTGGATCTATTTTCCAGGTCAGTTGTTTTTCCAATGAGATATTTCACATTGTTTTCTAATTTTTCATTCTTTTGGATTTGTTACAGTGTCTTGATTTCTCATAAAGTCACTAGCTTCCAATTG